CAGCCTTTAGTAGGGGTTACAGCTCAATGTAAAGAAAACAAAGATCCTCTCAACATCATGGTTAATGGAGAAAAGATTGAAGTTCAAATTTTCACCTCGTTTGGATCCACAATCAATGCTCATGGCAGCAGCAGTCAGTCAAGAAATCAAATGACACATCACATTTGGCAAGTCTGACGCAAGGCTCTTTTTATGTTGAAAGCAGGGCTGTTACTTTGAAGACAAAGAGGCACCTGACCCAAGCCATGATACCGTCAATTGCTTCATATGCATGTGAAAGTTGGGCGTTGAATAAAGAAGAGTGACGAGGAATGGATCCATTTGAATTGTGCTGGACAAGTGTATGGGAAGTACCTTGGATTTCCAGAAGAACCAACAGATCTATGTTGGAGGAAGCGCAGCCAGAGTGACCCTTAGAGGCAAGGATGGCGAGACTTAGTCTCACATACTTTGGACATGTTAACCATGTTATCAGGAGAGACTAGTCCCTAAAGAAGACCATCATGTGTGGCAAAGTAGAAGGGCAGTGAACAAGGAAGATCATCCATGAGATGGATTGACATGATGGCTACAACAATGAGTTCAAACATAACGACAACTGTGAGACTTGCCCAGATCTTGGCAGTGTTTTGTTCTGTTGTGCCTGGGGTCACTGTGAGTCACGTCTGACTTGATGGCTCCTAATAACAGCAACAACAACAACACAGCAGAGATGGGAGATGCTTGTTGCCAAGCGAAATGGACATCTTGCTGAACCAGAAAACAAGCTTAAGACACAAGGACTTTCCCAGAGCTGATGGAGAGAAAAGCCCTTCCGTGGAGCCATTGACCTGAATTTCACTGCTAGCCTCCTACCTGGTGAGGAAACAAAATTGTCAAAGACATCTATGTGTATTTCTGTTATAAATGTACTACACAATGAAGACACTGATTTATATAAAGTTCTCAAAAGGACAAAATTCCAGAGATGGAAAACAGATTAGTGCTCGCTAGTTTGGGGTCATGTGGTGGGAGATCAGTGGCTGCTGGGGGTTAAGGATAATTTCAGGCCAGCATGATTAGAGAAACAAATCCATAGACACTCTTAGATGTGTAAGGAAGAGCTTTATATCAACCCGTATCAAGAAAGTATCCCGGCGAGTCCACCTCAAGTCTATGAGTCCCATAGTCCATAAGCTCCTCTTCAGACTCACATAGCCACGTACAACGATGAAGAAGGCAGGAAGTTCACAGGCCAGTGGGTGCAACGTTTCTTGGATCCAAGGTCGGTGGAAACATGGCAGAGCTCAAGGTCACTAGTGAAGAGAGACAGAGGTTCCCAGGCCTTCCTTATGAGTAGGTCACACCCACAAGGAGGCACCAACAGGCTGTGATCCAGTTGACAGGTTGGATACCACCCCCACACTTTATACATCTTCAGTTGACATGAAATTATCTAACCATTACAGAGATCATGGTGGTGGGCGATGAGTGGTTGTCAGAAATTAGGTGGTGGAAAGTTAGTGGTTGTCGGGGATTAGGGATCATTGTGAGGAGACCAGATCCACATATGTAACAAAATGACATAATGACACCACCCCCTCAGTGGAATGATGCCAGCTTCTGGTTCATAGGATGTGGCTGTTATGCAAGATATTGTCAGCAGGAAAACTGGCCCTGGTTTGGAGGGGGTGGGATCTGCAATATAATGAGTTCAAAATTTTAAAAAGTTTTAGCAAGTACAGGACTTCTTAGAAACCATGTCAACATATTTTTGTAGATTGATGTGTGTTCAAGCATTTGCATAGTACACATGAGCCCGAGCCAGCTTGTGACTTACAGTACAAAAACACCTCCCACCTTTCGTTGTAAACAGGACTTTGTCCTTGGGAGTAGCTCTGAGAGAAGTGTTGCCTCTGAAAATGTTGACGTGCCATGAAAAACAGGGGAAATTATATAAAAAAGAAAACGCTGGAATGCCTGCAAAGCTGCTTTCTCCTGCGCGGCCATTCCTCCCTGGGAGGAAGTCCTCCCACTCCTCCTGCCCCTCACCTGTGCTGGGATTGTGCTGAGTCACCGAGAGGGCGGCACCCATGCGCAACCTGCAGTGCAGGTCTTCTCGCTGGATTTACCTGCTCCTGCTGAACAGCATCCGAACGGCACTGTGTGCAATAGCCGTAGTTTCTTTGTCCTCCAACTTTTATTTTATTGGCAACAATATACTCAGCAAAGCATACGCCAATTCAACGTGTACAGTCTCTACATGTACGGCTTAGAGACCCTGGCTACGTTCTTCTGACGTCGCAGCTGTTCGCCCCCCC